TTGTAAATTCGGGGTCGCTTATGTCTTGAATGCGGGGCGACCCCAGCTTGCTGGAAATAAAGACCTCCTGCTGTTGCATCGATCTCTGCCTCATGGTCTTAGTGAGATGAGCCTTCCCGAGAAATAAGATTCATGCTTTCGGGCTGGTCTTACACTGTAAAAGGGTTTCTACCTTTTTTCAAGTAGCAGGTGGCTCTTTTTTTCTACCCTTTCCCCAGAAGCAATGCTAGGTCTTTGCCTAGACCCTGGAAAAAAGAGGATTTCCTGCCCCTTCATTAGTGACTTAAAGCTTTTGCTTCATACGAGAGAAGGATTTAGTAATTGGGTGATGTCTCATGTCTTTGCTTTTAGGTTTCGTCCTTCCTCCAGTCTTTTTCATAAGTATCTGGTAGAGGCTCATGGAAAAGACCTTGGGAAGGAGTGGGGTTCTGAGGTATTCTACACTATTACACTAGCCTACACTTGGTCTTCAGGAATTTTTTAAAATTTTAGCTTTATACTCACTTGTTTTTATGAAGGACACCTCCTTTTCCTAGGTCTGCCAAAGTGAAACAGTTTGTAGGAAACTCTTTGGTGGGGCTTGTCATCCTTTTGAATTCACTTTACATTGTTACCTTGAGGCCTTCAACTGCATATTATGCTCAAGAAAAGTTATGATTTTGTAGATAATCTTATTTTTTCCTGTTACAATGGCAGAGACATTCACTTCGGGCTTTCTGTGTCCTTAGAACTGTCATGGCTTCTTTGGAAGGTGATAAGACCAGTCCTTTGTATGCGCTGTTTGACCTCAAACATTCCCCCGTAGTCTCTCAGCATGGGGAGTAATCACTGAAGTTACAATATGGAATGAAAATATTACTAAAATATCCATGTCTTGGGAAGGAAAATACATTGTTAGGAATTAAAAATGTTTCACAATACAGAAAGCAGAACTGTAAGCAAACAGACCTTAGAAGTATTAAAATTTTTATATAAGGATTCAGAAGAGGTTTAGGATAAAATGATGTAAGATGGAGACTCTTGGACAGCTCCTTAATACACTAGTTATCAGGAAGAGAATGGAATGTACTTTTAAGTAAAGTGATGGGGTGGGGCATTTTTCATCATGCCTCTCTTCTTACTTGTTCCCTAACCTCCCAGCTCCCTCTAGCACAAATGCTACCTGAATAAAAACAGAAGGAAGGAACTACATACCCTTATTGAAGTCTTGCCCCATATCATTTTTATGGCCACAGAAGAAGAAATCAGAACCCACTTTCAGAACTGATGTTCCTTATGGGCAGAATATTGTGTTCCAAGCCAAGGAATGTGTAGGTTATAGAAATTCTGCTGTATTCTAAGCTGCAGGACATTTATTCTTTTCTGACATCAATTTTTCTTACAGGGAAGATAATTCTATATAGCCATTAGATGTTGTCTTTAAAAACATCCCTGTATGAGCACTTCATCTATTTGTCTAATGTTGCAATTGAAGAGGTGATGGAAGCAGGAATAGCTCCAAGGTGTTATTGTGTTATGAGGGAAGAGTGAAAGGAAAGCTTTTGATGATAGAAGTTTTGATAAATTATACCAATCTTCTCACTGAAAAACACTAAAAACAAAACAAAAAACTGGACAAAATATAAGCATGAAAACAAATATGCAAACAAGAAACACGATCTGAGAAGCATGGAAGTATTAAAAAGGTAGAAAGGAGTTGCTGATCCAAGATCAACATAAAGAGTAGAGATCAGAGAGCTGAGCCTGAAGAGTAACCCAACAATTCCACTTTAGTAAGTATACCTACATATACGTAGATTTATGTACATTGGAACACATGTACAAGACAGTTTATCATTGCAGAAAACTGAAAACAACTCTGTTGTCCATTAACAGAAGAATGAATAAACTCTGGTATACTTTTATAATAAAATAAAGAACACAATTGAAATGGTTTTTAACTACAGCTAAACGCACTGATGTGCTATTTAATGTTTAACCCCGGGTCTCTGGAAGAAAAAGCCCTGATATTTCACACGTACCCATTTTCATGGTGTAAATACTCCTGTGATGGCCAAATTTAAGCTACCAGTGTAATGTCACTGAACAGGGGTTGAGAAGATATGCATACAATCAGCTCTTATGAGCTGGTATGCACCATCTACAGTACACCATTGGCTAAACAGAACAATATGGATCAGTTTGGCAAATTTAATGCTGAGCATAAGAATCAAGAAAGAAAAAAATATGTAAGTATAGTTCTACTAATATAAAATTCAAAAACAAGCAAAACAAAAGGATAAATCTTTTTTTTTTTAAAAAAAAGGGGAAACAAAATATGAGGGTACTTCATACAGTTCAGGAAAAGATTTGCATTATCTTTTAATTCTATTTCTTCACAAACTGTTTGAAGTACTCTCATATTGGTGGTAAAAGCATAAAGAAAAGGAATTAAGAAAGACAGGGTAATAGTCTACCTGTGTACATGTATAAGGGGGTAAGGAGAAACACTGGATTATTATCTGAACAAAGGAAGCTTCTGGCAAGATTCTACTTCTTGACCTGTTGAGTGTTTACAGCATTTTACAGCAAGTTGTTAAGCCATATATTTAGGTTTTATGCAATTTTCTCTCTGTTATGTTGCACAATATCTTTAAATGACAGAAGGGATTATTTTGTCAAAGAGGTGCTACAAAGTTTCAAGGAGCTTTTTTAAACACTACCAGGAGAGCTAGGAACTGACTCTCATAATACAAGTCACTTAAGGGATTCTCTCAACTAAATTTCCTCAAATTCCCACAAGGTACATGTGAACTGCCAGGGTTAATGGTAAACTTCTTATAAAACAACAGTCAAAACATTATCTTTATTTCCAGAGTTAGATATTTTAACCTAGAAACATTTTGTCAGGAAAATAGAATAATTTAATCAGGCCCCCCTCACCTTAGGTCTGGTTGGGGGTGGTGCAGTGCATGCTTTGTAAATAGGTTCTGTGTGGGTGGAGTTAGTGCACATGGGTGGTGCCACCACCTTGGCTGGCATCTCCTGCCTTGGGTGTCTGCTTCATGTGGAGTCATGCTCTCCAACCTATGGCTCTAAGGACCTTTTGGCCAGTTACCTAGTTCATAGACCAGCATGTGAGGGGTCTGGGGACCCAGCCAGGAGTGTGAAGGGTTTGTGACCCAGTCTGGGCAATGGGCTTGAGGGGTCTGTGAGCTCCAGACCCAGCCCTAGCTCAACAATTGGTGACTTTGGCAGGATTCCGACATTAGCAGTAGTCCTACAGTTGGCATAGTCAGCAGGATTACAGGCAGATAAAAGAGCTAGAAAAGTGGCACTGTTGGCAGGATTATGGGCAGGTAAAAGAGTGCAACAATTGGCACAATCTGCGACAGGATTCTGAGCAGGTACAAGAGCCAAAAGGCCCTTGGAAAAAGGAAGAAATGTGGCTACTTGTGAATATGCTCTGCCCTGTGGCAACCTTCCTGCTGACTGAGATCTGGTTGCTGCTCACTGTACTGCAAGGCAGCATAGTCGAGGTACTACAATGCAAAACCCCTTTGGAAGGGGAGGAAATGTGGCTGTCCTTGAGCATGTGGTGCCCGGTGGCCACGTTTCTGCTGACCGGAGCCTGGATGCTGATCACTATGCCACAAACTGATTGAGATTTGCAGCAGAAAGCAGAGTTGTTAGAAAAGCATGGATAAATGTCCTGAAGGATGACATGCAGTGACTGGCCACTCCTGCATCTCACACCAGGGAAGATGACAAACCCAGTGGTGAGTTGGGGGAAACTGTGTCTCCAGGCACGACCTATTGTGCATCAGAAAATGAAGCACAAGCAGTCTGTGGGACCAGATGGACAACTGGCGGGTGATCCACAGGTGACCCAGTTCACTGCCTATGTCCTGTATACCCACGCTGAACTGGTTGACTTGGGGAGACAGTAAAGCAGCAGAAACAGGAACAGCCCCTGGCTGCTGCAGCTATGGGACCTAAGGGTGGATGGTGTAACGTGCTCTAGAGACGATGTAGTAAATGCATGTCACATTTGTCTGAAGTCAGATGGCTCGGAGGGTGCCACTTAAACCCGATGGCTGGCCAGATGCCATATAAACCAGAGAAGAGAGTGACTGAGTGAATGCAGTTGTTCAGACCGTGGGTGAACGCTGCAGAATTGCCTGAAACTGTGAGTGAATAGCCAGTGTAAGCCTAGCTGATTCAAGTAATTCAGGAGCCAGGGATGGGGCAGCTAGATGCTAATAGCCAAGACAATGAGAAGGGCCCTGAGGGCATTTCAGATGTTTGGGAGAGCACCCCATGCATCACATACCCTGAGGCCTAGGAGAACTGAGTTGTCCCAGAGGACAGACCTGGGGCACAGCTGCCCCCAGGGACCTGCTCCCTGCATCCCAGTTGCTCTGGCTGGAGCAATCCTGCCTCAGCAACTCCGAAAAGTAAAAGCTGAAAACCTTGGTGGTGTTGTGTTAAGTTTGCAGGCCAGCAGTATGTGACAGCAGTGGAGGCATGGCAGCCTCCACCTAGATTTCAGAAGATGTATGAAAAAGCCAGGGAACTCAGGTGGAGACCTGCTGCAGGGGTGGAGCCACTGGAGAGGTCATCTATGGAGCAATGTGGAGCAGAAAAGTGGGGTCAGAGCCCTCAGAGAACCCACACTGAGGAAATGTCTAGTGGAGCCAAGATGGTGGGACTGCCACAAGGAGCCCAGAACCGTGGGGCTGCTGGCAGTGCATAGTGCCAGCCTGGAAAAGCTGCAGGCACCAGGGCAGCTCAATTGGCTGCACCTGGCAGAGCTGCAGGAGCGAGGTTGCCCAATGTTTTAGAGGTCCAGGTGCCCCAGTGTGCTTAATGTTTGCCCTATTGGGGTTTTGGATTTGAGGCCTGTTTTTCTTTCTTGTCTACTCCTCCCCTTCTGGAATGGTAATGTGTACCCAATGTCTGTCCCACTGTATCTTGGAAGTAGATATACTTGTTTTTGACTCTTTACAGGTTCATGGCTGAAAGGAGTTTTGTCTTTAGTCTCAGATGAGACTTTGGACTTTTGGGTTGGTGCTGCAACAAGCTAAAGACTTTTGGGACTGGGATGGAATGTGTAATATGTGAAGGTAAGGGTCGTCTATCCTTGCTAAGGGAGCATCATGGAAGATTCTGAATGTGTAGCTTGTACAGCAAGGGACCCTGAAGGGGTGGATTGTTGGGAAAATAGAATAATTTAATCAGGCCTCCTCGCCTTAGGTCTGGTTGGGGATGGTGTGGTGCATTCTTTGTAAATAGGTTGTGTGTGGGTTGAGTGCGCATGGGTGGCACCACCACCTGGGCTGGCATCTGTTGCCTCAGGCATCCACCTCACATGTGGCCATGCTCTCTGACCTATGGCTCCAAGGAACTTTTGGCTGATTACCTAGTTCATAGACCTGCATGAGAGAGTTCTGGGGACCTAGCCTGGCATGTGAGGGGTCTCGTGACCCAGCCTGGTGTGTGAAGGGTTTGTGACCCAGTCTGGACAATGAGCTTGAGGGGTCTGTGAGCTCCAGACCCAGCCCAAGCTCGACAATTGGCAATGTCAGCAGGATTCTGACATTAGCAGTAGCTCTACACATTTTTATTTTATAATTTTGCCTCAACTACAGGAGAGAAAAAACTACTTCTCTTTTATCATTATTCAAAACCTACTTTTATTCTCTTTATAATTAAAAGAAAAAATTCTATAGATAATGCAAACATGAAATATTCTAAAAATGAAAATTGAGATTTATTTCCTCAGGTTCCACCCCATCACTGTCTACCCTATTACTGCTTTAATCATTTTAAAGAAAGTATTACTATCTCAAATGATCATATTTGTGTTCCTGTTTTATGTTTATTTTGCCCATTAGAATGTAAGTGCCTTGAGGGCTGGGCTTAGTCAGCTCATTGTACCCTTGGTGCTTAGAATACTGCTGGCTTACATGGATATGAGTAAGACAGTGGAATAGGAATTTTCATCCTTCATCCTCCCACAGAAATATCAATTTTGACAACCACTCATAGGTGAGAATACCTTTGTGGGAGCCAGGGAGTCCAGTGGTGATGTCTCAGCACTCTGATGGTGCAGAAAATCTGAAAATAAAAGTATTGAGTAGGGTAAGAAGAACAGTCTCACTTTACTTGCATCACTCCTCCTCCAAGGCAGCACAGCTCAGTGCCAAAAGAGACCCTCCTCAACCTGCAATTTCTATCATGAAAGAAAGTGAGAATCTAATGAACACCTGGCTTGCCCAGCCATGTGGGATGCTACCCAAGAGGCTACCTCTGCCCACCCTACCCAAATCACTGAGGCATAGCTGAATAATCTGGGGGAAGGTAGGAGCAGGGAAAAGGAATATGGGCTTGCCACAACTAGGGTGCGGAACTCAACAAAGGGTTTCAATTTGTCTTAACCACCTCACAAACTCCAACAGGCTCACCCATGACCCTCACAGAATACAGGCCCCCAACTGATTAAAACATGCCCCCCAAATTTTGCACTCCCCTCCACCACTTCTGATGCCCCGCATATGCCCCCATAGATGATGCATGCAAGTCTCCACAGATTGTGCACAAGCATATGCATACGGCCAGCTTGATTCTGTGGGAGAAGATACTTAACCTTGAACACTTCAGGGCACTGCCCTAGGGAAAATAAGCAGGAGGCTCACAGCACCAGGCCCAGCTTTGAGGGATGGGGACAAGACATAATCCTAAGACTTCTCCCCCAAGAGAGAACTAGACAAGGGGAGTGGCTGCATGCATAGAAAAAGGTCTGAGTAACCCCCAGATTTTCTAGCTAGGCTAAATGGGATTTCTTTCCCAAAGCCAGAAAGTAAAACTAAAGGGGGTGACTGCTTTTCTCAAATGTGAAGACAGCAATATAAGACTTCAAGGAACATTAAAAATGAAGTAAACATGACATCACAAAAGGAACACAATAATTTTCCAGTAACCTAATGTAAAGAAATAGAGATTCACAAATTGCCTAGTAAAAATTCAAAATAATTGTTTTAAGGAAGCTCAGTGAGCTACAAGAGAACACATATATATAACTAAATTAAATCAGAAAAATAATATGTGAATAAAATGAGAAGTCCAACAAAGAGATAGAACTCATTAATAAAAAGAACCAAACAGAAATTCTGGAGATGAAAAATAAAACAAATGAAATGAAAAATGCAATAGAGATCCTCAGTAGCAGACTTGATTAAGCAGAAGAGTCTGTGAACTGAAAGACAGGTTATCTGAAATTATGCAGTTAGAGGAAAAAAAAGAAAAAAGAATGAAAAATATCAAAACATCACATTGTATACTTCAAATATATAGTTTTTATTTGTCAGTTATACCTCAATAAAGTGGGAAAAACAAACAAAAGAATACTGCTAGCTCACAATCTGTCCTCGATAAAGCCTTCTCAAAAGAATATAGGAATGAACAGAAATTTCAACTTAGAGATCATTCCATATCAGCATGTATACATCTACCTCATTCTTTCTATTAGCTGCCAAGTATCCCAACATGTGTACAGTTATTTTCAAACTTTTCCTTTTTGAATTAATGCTGCATTGGGCATGCTTATATTTTTGAGATTTTCTGTAGGGTAAACTTGGTTCTAAAATTCTTAAAGAATAAGTGCATTTAAGATATTGATAAGCATTGTTAAATTGCCCTACAAGAAATTGCACCAATTTACACTCCACCAACAAATGGTAAATATAAATATTTCCCAACACTTCAAAAGGTTAAGAAATATCCACCTGATAAATGAAAAAGAATTTGTTTTGTTTTGTTTTGTTTTAAGTTATGAGTAAGATTAAACATTTTTTTATGTTGATAGTCATTTGTACTGCTTTTACCATTGATGTACATTCATAATTCTTTGCTCATTTTCAATAAAACTGCTCATATTTTTCTTATTGTTAGAACATCTTTTATGTTAATAAAGTATGTCTTTTATCTATTATACAAGTATATGCTACAACTCCTCCCTAGTTTTTGCCTTTAACTTTATTTTTTCAAACCAAAGCGTTAATTTTCATGTAGTCAAATTTATCAGTCTTTTACTTCGTTTTCTATTTTTTGTCATGCTTAAAAAAAATTCCCCAAATCATTTATATTATCTTCTACTACTTTTATTTTTAAAAAAACTTCATCCCTAAAACAGACAGCCATTCTATTTCTAGCTGGACACTTCCTGACATAGAGAAGGCACCACCGCCTGAAGAGCTCCTTAAGAGTGAACAGCTCCCATTTAACGAACTTAGAAAGAGCTGAAATATATCTTTACTCCCTGGATCCTGGTTCTTTTTGTTTTTTAAGTAAAGAAAAAAGTGAAATCTATTCTTTATTTACAGGACATTGCACAATATAAAATTCCACATAGAAACAAGCAGCCCATTCACAGGACAAGCTTTATACAGTGTGTACATTTGGAACTGTTCAAGTATAGTTTCCTTGTGAAAAGAAGGAATACTACTACAATAACAGACCACATTTTAAAAGAATTCTTAGTAGAGAAACAGTAAGACAAACTTATACCAAACATTTCCTCACAGGTTGTGACTTCTGAGAGTGCACACAGAAAGCATACTCCCTTTTCAATATTAGCCCTTCGTACACTTGAAGAATAATATCATGTTTGACCTCAAGACTTCCAAGTAAGCCTTCCCACATTCCCTATGACAGCATTTTCAGACCTTTTGAATTTCTTGCTACTTCCAAGGAAACCCAAATTTACCCCATTTGATGGAGAATTTTTCACAACATTATCTCCACAGACACTAAGAAGGGAGATTTTTGGTACCCAGGGACTGAAAGAAAAAAAAAACAAAAAACCTACATTTCCATACTAATTCAAACCTTAAGGCTCCAATAACCTCTAATTTTGTAGTGAATATTCATAAACATTTGCACTGTGATCAGTAAAATCGAGTGAGATTTTAAAATTCATTTTTGTTCTTCAGTGGGAAGCAGCTCTAGAAATTTAGGAACTAGTCCACCAGAGTGGACACGATTTATGAGTAACAGCTCTAAATTGTCTGAATGTTTGTCATGTCTGGGCTGAAAAATGCAAATGACTGTGTTGCTAGTTCCAAAAATCTGGTACAGGAATATCTGCATTTAGAAATGCATCTTCTACCATTTTAAAAATATGTCAGCACAGAATAAGACTATATATCTGCTACAGGAGAAAACAAAGAAAGAAACAAACAAAAACCCTTGGTTAACCACCTTTCATATGTTGTAATTGGTAATTAGATATTGAAAGTGAATAGATGTAACTGATAATCTCCAGAAAGATCAAAGAAAACAATTTTTCTCTTTGGGTAAATATGCATCTTTTGATAAAATCTATGAAGTAATTAAAATATTATTACCAGCCTTTTAATATTTACTGCACAGTTATTATACAACAAAACCTAAAGTATGGCAAATCCTACATGCATTCTAAAGGAAATATGAAGTAATATTTTTTAATTGTTACCTCTAGAAATGTGTTAGCCAAAATAACCAGATTAGCGTATTGCCTTCCGTACCAGGAGGAATAACAAAATCTAAATCTGATGTTTGTAAGAAACAATATTCAAACTGGCTTTTAATTTATTAATGTATGACAGAGAAGAGAGAAAATGCTCAATTGCTTGTCTGTTTATACTTTCTAATAGTTTTCATCAGTAGTACAGCAAGAACCATGCTGATTCAAATATAAAAATGACTCATTCTTTCTTGAATGGCAAAAACAGGTCCAATGTTTTCTGTGTCATCATTAAATTAATCTACATATTTTACCTTTCTTCAGGATGCGAAACTGACTGGATCGCTGATTAGATTCTGAACATCCCTGCTGATATGTTTGCCATTTTCACCTAAAAGAGGATGTAAGAGAAATACATTTTAGCTATGTCATTGTACAGCTAGGGCTAGGGCTCACAGACCCCGCGAGCCCATTGTCCAGACTGGGTCACAAACCCTCCACACGCAGGTCTAAGAGCTAAGTAATAGGAAAAGGTCCTGGGAGCCGTGGCTGAAGAAATAATAGGTTTTATTCAGAGCTAGGAGCAGCCGACCTAATGGCTTCCCGTAGCGTCTGCACAAGCTTTGCATACCAGAGCCGTTAGTCCTTTATACTCAAGTCCACAATCCAAAACACCTTCAGGGATGCAGAATCCAACCCCAAGATGTGAGGAACTGCGTTGGAATCGCCCCACCGTTTGTAATTTCCATACAGAAGATGGTGGACTGGGTGGAACTGCACATGCCCAATCAGATGTGCACATGCGCAATCAGATGTGCACATTTTCATCAGATGCTTGGGAAGGTTCTGAATTCCTAGATTGTATGGCGAGGGACCCTGAAGGGGTGGATTGTTGGGAAAATATAAAAAACATGATCAGGGCCCCTCAGATGTTCAGAGTCTATACAGGTTTTTGTGAAGATTAAATAAGTTAATATGGGTAAAATGCTTATATAGTATTTACTATGTGCCAGTCATTGTTCTAAGTGTTACTTATTAAATGTTTCATCTTAACTTCAAGTGTAATTTGGAGTATGATGAGAAGAGCCATGAGTTCACTTTTGGGAAATCAGCACCTTAGGTCAGCACATTAGCAGTACAAATTAGTGAGACCCCAATGACAAGGTGAATATTAGAGGTGAATGTTGGTGTTACAAAGTACATCTTCTCCTTTTCAGGTGAAGATTCTCCCTCCATTGCTAAACTTGAAAGTTCAGGGTTTTAATTATATTAGAGAGACACTGGATTTCCTTATAAGCTCTTAACTTAGTAAACATGTATCAAATATGTGTTAGGTGTGGGGCAGTATGCCAGATGCTAGAGACACTTAAAATTTGCTAATTATGTTTATTGAATAATATTGCAAGCTTCTACAAGGCAGGAACTATGTTTTATTCTTTTTTGTATCCTGCACAATACTTTACTCATAAAAGAAGAATAATAAATATTTTGAAAGTTTAACACATCATTTAAATAGAAATTGAAAAATGTATGAGCATTTCGTTTATGTGCATTAATTATTTATACCAACATTCTAGAGATATATGTGCCTGTGACTCAACTGGAAAAATATTATGACTGAATAAATTCAGTTCTTTGAAGAGGTCAAGAATCTGTTTTGCTGACAAATGTCAGGCTCTGCTAGACTTCCCTGTTTTGGCATACTCCCCCACCCTCATCCCCATGCCCTACCAACTGATGCCCACCTGCTGGCTTCGATCAATTCTAGCTTGAGTTTGGAAATAGCTGAGTTGCTCTAGTCCTACATCAAATGCAGTTAACCATCAGGCAAAATTCGATGTCTACAGATTCCTGCAGTGTTCCTTTCGCTCATGATCTTTAATTCTCTGCCTTGTCTCTCAGTTTAAAGAAGCAGTCTTCTTCACTGGCTTTGTTCCAGCAACCTGTTTAGGCACCTAATACTGTTTTGAGCTTGAGACCCTACTTTATTCTTGCAGTTCCTCTCTTCTACGCAGGGAGATCATGACTTTAACACAGAAGCCTCTGGTTCCTGATTCATAATCGTCAGCTTGCCTCTCTGCCTGACCTTACAAGAACCACCAAGACTCCTTGACACGTTGTTCTCCCTGCTTGTTGGACCACTCACTCTCACCACACCCTTCCACTAGAGCTCCAAAACCTTATACGCATCATTGCCAACCATGAGCTGAAAACAGAGATTTCCTGCCACTGAACATTATACTTTGCTACCAGGTCTGAGCCTGTGCTGTCAATTCTAGCCCCTGCCTCGAGTAACCATTTTGATGAGCAACCCACAATGCTTCCAGCAAATACCAACATATGACAGCATAAACATACATGATTTTTCCTTTGTAAATGATTATCATTATGCCTCACTAGAATTCTTATTTCTTTAGGCAAGAACAAAACAAAGCAAGCCTTTACCAATAAGGAATGAGAAATGGTGGATAAATGCACCAGCCTCCCTATCCTCAGGGGACATCAGTTCCACACCATGTAATATGCAGTTTCTCAGAGGGATCCCAAGTGGAGTTGAAGTTCCAGTTGCTCAAAAATGTGACTATCTCAATAATGCATTCTTATTTTGTGCTTCCAGGAATCCACTCCCAAATAAACTATGGACACTCATGTTCTTGTCTCAGTATCTGCTTAAAGGAATCCAAACTAAGACACGTCTTGAGTTGTGTGAAACCAAAATTATTTTGTTGCCTTTCACTTATGATGTTTGAAAAGACCCTTCCGAAGATAATTTTTCTTTAGCATAATACAAACACATCCTCTTTCCAGAAAACTAACTGGTAATACTGAAAATTCTTTATTTTTTAATTTAATTTAATTTTTTTAAATTTTACTTCTCAAAATACATTGCAGTTGATTTTCATGCCCCTTTACCCATTCCTCTCCACCCTCTCCCCATCCCCCCCCCCCATATTGTACCTGTTCACTTGACTTAAATACTTCAAGGAATTTTTGTGTTTATTCTTCCCACCCACACACACACTTTGCTTGTTTGTATGTTTATTTCTTTATTTTTCGCTCCCACAAGTAAGTGAGAACTTGTGGTATTTCTCTTTTTGTGCCTGACTTGTTTCACTGAATATAACCTTCTCTAAATCCATCCATGTTTTTGCCAACAGTAGTATTTCGTTCTTTTTTATAGCAGAGTAGTATTCCATTGTGTAGATATACCACAGTTTCCTTATCCACTCATCAGATGATGGACATTTGGGCTCGTTCCAACTCCTGGCTATTGTAAATAGTGCTGCAATAAACATGGAAGTATAGGTATCCCTTAGGCATGATGATTTCCATTCATCTGGGTATATTCCCAGCAGTAGAATTGCTGGGTCATATGGTAGATCTACCTGTAGTTGTTAGAGGAACCTACATATCATTTTCTATAAAGGCTGCACCATTTTGCAGCCTCACCAACAGTGTATGAGAGTTCTTTTTTCTCCACAAACTCTCCAGTACTTCTCATTCTCAGTCTTCTGGATGTTAGCCATCCTAACTGGAGTGAGATGATATCTCAGTGTGGTTTTGATTTGCACTGCCCTGATGCTGAGTGATAGTTATCATGTTTTCATGTGTCTGTTGGCCATTCATATATCTTCCTTTGAGAAATGCCTATTCAGCTCTTTGGCCCATTTTTTAATTGGGTTATTTCTTTTTGCTATAAAGTTGTTTGAGTTCCTTCTCTATTCTGGATATTAATCCTTTGTCAGAGGTATATTTTGCAAATATTTTCTCCCAGTCTGGTGGTTGTTTTTTTACTCTGTTGATTGTTTCTTTTGCTGTGCAAAAGCTTTTTAGTTTGATATAATCCCATTTGTTTATTTTACCTTTAGTTGCCTGTGCTTTTGGGGTCCTATTCATGAATTCTGTACCCACTTCTACTTCCTAGAGTATTTCCCCATGTGTTCTTTAAGGAGTTTTATTGTTTCAAGATGTATATTTAATTCTTTCATCCATTTTGAGTTGATTTTGGTATATGGGGAAGGGTATGGGTCTAGTTTCATTCTCCTACATATGAGTATCCAGTTTTTCCAGCACCACTTGTTGAAAAGGCAGTCTCTTTCTCAGTATGTAGATTTTCTGCCTTTGTCAAAGATCAAATGGCTGTCAGCATATGGGTTGATTTCTGGGTTCTCTATACTATACCATTGGTCCATGTGTCTATTCTTAGGCCAGTACCACACTGTTTTGGTTATTGTAGCTTTGTAATATAGTATAAAGTCAGGTAGTGTTATACATCCAGCTTTATTATTATTATTATTATTATTTTGGCTCAGGATTGCTTTGGCAATGCATGGTCTTTTGTTGCTCCATATAAATGTCTGGATAGCTTTTTCTATCTCAGATAAAAATGTCATTGGAATTTTGATGGGGATTGCATTGAATCTGTAGATCACTTTGAGTAATATGGACATTTTCACAATGTTAATTCTTCCAATACAAGAGCATGGGATATCTTTCCATCTTCTTGTGTCCTGTTTAATTTCTTTCAACAGTGGTTTGTAGTTCTCTTTGTAAAGATTTTTCACATCCTTGCTCAGCTTTATTCCTATGTAGTTTATTTTTTTGGTGGCTATTGTAAATGGGCAAACTTTCTTGATTTCTTTTTCTCTATGTTCACTGTCAGAGTATAGAAATGCTACTGACTTTTGTGTGTTGATTTTGTATCCTGCAACTTTTCTGAAATTATTTATCATCTCAAGGAGTTTCTTTATAGAAGCTTTAGGATGTTCAATGTATAGGATCATATCATCTGCAAAAAGGGACAGTTTGACTTCATCCTTTCCAATCTGGATGCCCTTTATTTCCTTCTCTTCTCTGATTGCTCTGGCTAGTACTTCCAACACTATGTTGAATAGGAGTGGTGAGAGTGGGCATCCTTGTCTAGTTCCTGTTTTAAAGGGAAAAGGATGATATTGGCAGTGAGCTTTTCATATATGGCTTTAATTATTTTGAAATACTTTCCATCTATGCCTAACTTGTAGAGAGTCTTTATCAGGAAACGATGTTGAATTTTGTCAAATGCTTTTTCAGCACCAATAGATATGATCATGTGGTTTTTGTCTTTGCTTTTATTAACGTGGTGTACCACATTGATTGATTAGTGTTTGTTGAACCAAACTTGCATCACTGGGATGGATCCCACTTGATCATGGTGTATAATTTTCTGTATGTGTTTCTGTATTCTGTTAGCTAGTATTTTATTGAGGATTTTTGCATCTATATTCATCAAGGATATTGGCCTGTAGTTTTCTATTTTTGATTCATCTTTGACTGGTTTTGGTATCAGAGTGATGTTTGCTTCATAGAATGAGTTTGGGAGAATGGCCTTGGTTTCAATCTTTTGAAACAGTTTGTAGAGAATTGGTATCAGTTCCTCTTTGAAGGTTTGGTAGAACTCTGTGGTGAACCCATCTGGTCCTGGGCTTTTCTTTGTTGGGAGCCTTCTGATAACAGCTTCAATCTCTTTTATTGTTATTGGACTGTTCAGATATACTATATCTTCTTGGCTCAGTTTTGGTAATTTGTATGCATCCAGAAATTTATCCATTTCCTCCACATTTTCAAATTTGTTGGCATATAGATGTTTATAGCAGTCCATAATGACTCCTTATATTTCTGAGGTGTCAGTTGTAATATCACCTTTTCATTTCTAATTTTTGTTATTTGGGTCTTCTCTCTTCTT